ATCGGTCTCGCTATTTTTCCGCGCCCCGACGCCCCTTTTTTTGCATTCGCTCTGCCGCCGTTAATTAGCACCCATATCGCCGATTCGCGCGGATTTACATCCGCGCGCGCAGTTAATCCGCGAGATTATCTTATCGCCGGGACAAAGTCGTTCAGAAAGTTTATTGCGGCATAGATTGCACGACTGTCTACCGTGATTCCGTGTCGATTAGCCGTCTCTTCTCCTGGAAATAATAAAATAAAATCGATAGTGGAGACCGCGTCGCAACGATGATAAACTGTATACCGGGTGTCCCATAATTATGTTAATACTCTTGGATAGGGGTGATTCCTGAGGTGATTTGAAGTAACTTTTTCTCCTTTGCGAAAATGCAATCCGCGACTTCGTTTACGAGTTATCGAAGAAAAACGGCGACCAATGAGAGGCGAGCTCGGCTGACGCGAGGCGGCCGAGCTGCCGATGAGCAGAAATGGGCGTCGACAGCTCGTTGGCGCGGCAGCTTCGAGCTCGCCTCTCATTGGTCACTGTTTTTCGTTAATAACTCGTTAACGATGCCTCGGAGAAAATTTTTGTAAAGGAAAGATTTGGTTCAAATGACCTCAGGACTATACTGCGGATCTTCGTGCAAAGAAAAAATGATCTTCATCAATTTCTTTAATAATTTCGATGTGTTGAAAACAAAGCACAGATGTCCGTAAATTCTTCTAATATCTCCATTGTCTGAAATTTCATCTATCCTTCTTTATTATATTTCTATTGTCCGCAGTCCAATCATAACTCAAGCCGATAAATTGGCTTTCATGCTCTGTCAGGATGAAAACAGACCTCTTCATAGTCAGAAGATTGCTACTATCTATACGATGATATATAGAACTAATCAAGCTTAATAACCTTGAGAGGTAACAAAGTGGTCTTGAGATTTCCCCTTCGTACTTCTTATCTATAATCTGTCAACAATTGTATATTTTTCCAATTAATCGCAATCCAATTAATTGCTATGTACCATGCCCTTTGTACTGTGTCGCATTCAGTTGCAGAAAACTTTCGCGACGAGGACACCGATGAACGAACGGCTTTCCTAGAAAAAACGCCGTTAGTAATTTCTATTATACAATTTTAACCCTTTGCGCTCGAGTGGTGACTCTGAGGCACCATTAAAATTGTTATAGCATATTCCAAGATGATTTTTACATTAACAAAGTTTACATTTAAGAAATTGTTAAAAGTGTAACTATTGTACAAGTCTCAATTTCATATGCATAAAATGCACTTTGTCATATAAAATGGAAATACAATAAGTCAGAAAAATTATTTTAGGTTCACGGTTAAAACAGCTTCGAGTGCAAAGGGTTAATTTGACGCGAGCCAAGGTTAAGATAAAGACGCTATTTCGTCAATACAGTTAAATGATCATCAGAATCATTCTTAGTTGCGCAATCGTTCCAAGCGTCTCCCTGACAACCGCAGACCCTGCTCGCTTGCCAGTCGACCGGGTAGCATTCGCCGAGGCGTCGACAGCCCTAGGTGCCCCGTTAATTCGACCGTCTTCTAATTAACCAAGATCCCCCGTCGATCGAAGCCTATCTTCGTTATCTAATCTGCCAGTTCCTGCTGGCCCGCGTTCGATTGCATAATAATACGACGACAGTTTCTATAAACCTGTCTCCGATATCCGCACAATAAAAAAGATCGCCGGGCGATGCATCGACGGATTTTCGTTCGCGATTTCGGGAACGTAAAATTTTCGAGGTCCGAAATTTTATTCGAATCGTCGGCAATCCGCGATCCGTTATCGCATCGCTCCGGGAGACCGTCTAGACAGAAGACGGACGATTCGCCGCGATAGATTTGCCGACGACCCGTTACGGCGGCCTTCGATTTTCATAAATCCCTCGGTCGGACCACCCACGCAAAATTTTCCGTCGCAAATGGCCCGTTAGGGGCGGGGATACTTCGTATTCGCGGCGGGACGTTATTATTATACGTTCCGAGACCGAGTCGTTCCGGGGGTTCATCGTAACACCTATTCTAAACCGAAATTGTCCGCCATCTTTCACTCCCTGTAATCGGCTCCGTGTTAAATGAAGCGATCGGTAAATATCACCTACCGGTTCCCACGTGCCACAATTTCATCGCGCACCATCGCCCGGATCGTTACAATTTAGGGGGAGGTTCCGGCCTAGGAGGCTGAAAAAGCTCATTTTCGCAATTTCTTTACGACGAAAGTAAATTCCATAATAATTTCGGGTTAGCAACATTTCATCGCGCGTCTCTCGAGCGTACGAAACGTTCTTTAAATGTTTATCTTATCCAACTGTTAAGAACGAAACGGTCCCATTTTCTATAGGGGTTGTCGAAAAATTCTCTGTCGACGTTGGAAAGTTCAGCGCCCCGTCTGCAAATCCGAAAAAAATGACTGCATAATATTCCCGGGACAATGAACCTGATAAAGTATTAAAAAGTCCGGGTTTTATCGTTTCCTGGAATTTTCTAATTTATTATTTTACAGTTCCTGATATTATAAAAATATTTCTAAAGGAAGTGTTTAGGAGAAGTTTCACACTAGATTTACGGAGAGCAGAAAACAGCTGTTTTACATTAGTTTATAAAAACAATAATAACACATTTATTCTGTTTTTTAACAAGTGTGATTCATAATATTTGCCGTAAGTATCATATAAATTGAATAAATAACTCAAACGTATCTTTACGATATGAACGATCGTAAATTAAAAAATTAATTACCCGTCATTTTGACGGGTTCCGTGAATCTAGTGTTAAATAAATCCAGTCTCGGCATTGTTACAGAACAATGTACATTAGTCGCGTTTAGGGCTCGGCGGTTCTAGCGTTAAAATCGGAAGAAATCGGAACCTTTTCTTGAGAGCAACAATTTCAAGGGAACTTGGAATCGGTGCCGACTGCGAAAAATCGTAACACCGTCGGGTGCGAAGTAATTACCGCGAGCAGTCGAAGATCACGGTTTTCAGGATCCGGGGGTCCGAAGTTTTAATTGGGCGGATCTTTCGCGAGCGAGCGTTAACGCGCGAGAACTGCCAATTTATGGGAGCGTTCCGCGACCCTCTTCGTCCCCTCCGCGGTGTTTGCCGAGGACGTTAGTTACGCGAGAAAAGTCACGTTTGCAGAGATTCGATGTGATAGCGATTAAACCCGTTGGGCGGTTTGCGCAGCGGGCGAGTAACGGCGAATAGACAAGCTGCCTCGCGCAGGGCCTACTGTACGCAACATTAACCCGTGACCGCGGCTCGATAATTTACCGAGCACACCCTCCCTCGACAAATGCGGCCGCGCCGAAAACGAACCCAGCCGTTACAGAGACGACACGGACCTCGGACCCATTGAAAACGATCCGCCACCGGTTCGTTTATGTCCCGATCTGTTCGTGGGGAACGCTTGTGTCTGCGGCTGCGACTGTTAATCGTCGGACCTCCGAGGTACGGTAATTTCGCCCAGAAATGCTCGGAGCTCGGAATTGAAACCGGCAGATCTGAGAATACTAAGTCGCGATTCTTCGGACCTCGCGGCTCGTTTTTATGGAAACTCGGGGCAGTTGGTAAAAGAAGGCAGCGGCCAGCATGCTGGCGTGCATTAATATGAATGCATAGTAATGATAGAATCAAAACGGTGACTTGACGTTTTTATTTTTAATTTTTTGCCACGACTCGAAGGAAATTCAGAGGCCATTTGACACGATTCGAAGGCGATTCGGAGACAATTCGACGGTCAAATAGACCATTTTTTGTTACCAATTTTTAGATTCTAAACGATGACTTGTCTTTTTTATTTTTAATTGTTTGCCACGATTCGAAGGAAATTCAGAGAGCATATGACACGATACGAAGGCGATTCGGAGACAATTCGACGGTCAAATAGACCATTTTTTGTTACCAATTTTTAGATTCTAAACGATGACTTGTCTTTTTTATTTTTAATTGTTTGCCACGATTCGAAGGAAATTCAGAGAGCATATGACACGATACGAAGGCGATTCGGAGACAATTCGACGGTCAAATAGACCATTTTTTGTTACCAATTTTTAGATTCCGTCGACCCTTAGCATCGACCTTGCAATCTATTACATAGGCGTAGGATTAGCGTAGGGAAATTCACAGTAACCCAGGAGAATTTATTGTACTATCAAGGTTCTGTTGATCTAGCTGGGCCTAGGTTTGCGTTGCCGATGGATTTGCTCGCTTAGGGGATGCGCGAGGCATTTTAGTTTTGCGTAGGCGAATCGTTGAAGAATGGTTCTGCTTGTGATTGGTAGTTTCGAGAGCTGAGGGCGATTTTTGTGGAATTAAAGTAGCACCCTTGACTTGCAACGTGCCCTCGAATGCTCTCAGATCTTCTCGAATCAGTTCGCAAAATAGAAAATCAGTAATAAATCAATATACCCATCCAAATACTTATCATCAGTAGCTTAGACTATTTGATGGAAAACCAACACTACAAAAAAATAGAACAGGAAAGTTAGACGCACAATTGCAAAGAACCTGTCTTATTTATGTTTTAAGCGTAAAATGGAGCACGTTGCACAATAACTTGCAACCTACGACCGGTGCTAATTCATCATCGACAATGTGCGTGAGTCAGATAGCGAAACAACCGCAACACCGCGTCGTCACTGCCATTTTATGCAAACATATTTCAAGATTATTTATCAGAATGGGGAACCCTTTTCCGAAGTCGCTTATAATACTATGATAATAGTAACCACGATATTTAACTTGTCACGGTGAACGCTTCCGCTTCGACGACGATGGCTCCCTATGCGACGTTTATTTATATATTATCGATTTATTCTTCATTACCTTTCTTTATGCGATGTTCGCACGACAAAGTTTATCTATGCTCCTATAAACTATACTTTGAATATTTGGACAGATGTCCGAAGGCTTATTATGAATTATTCAAAATGCGATACTACGTCCGTAGTTTTCAGTATAAAAGCGAGTCTTTTTTGCGATGTTTGTATAAAGTCGTACAACTACGAACGAAGTTCAAGTTCGATCCTCAATGATGTCTCGCACTTTTCTTGTTCTCCTGTTCGCCGCCATTGCCTACATTGGCGGTAAGTATTCACAGATAATGATTTGCTTCGCTTTAGGCAGGTTTTGTTAATTCTGTCTTTTATTTTGAACAGTGAGCGAAGGTGCTGCGTGTGGCGTTAATGAAGTGTTCAGGGAGTGCGCATCCGCGTGCGAACCAAAATGCGGTGAACCACAAGTCGCCTGTATTGAGGTTTGTACTATTTCTCCAAACTATTTAAAAATTTCAATTCTTGAAGTATATTCCGTTTCGATGCTACTTTCCTTCCGGTTTCCTTCTTGCATTTTTAAGTTAAAACTTTCAACACTGAACGAACAGAGCGTTGAGAGTATCCGGCTCGTCTCATCGTATAAAAATCGCAAGACTGCGTTTATTTAGACTCTGTGCAATTTTTATTATAATATGTGCTCAACGGAAGCGCCTTTGCAGTTTCAATAATCCTGAAACCGAGAATTGGAAACCGGCCATTCGGCGATGATACGTTTAGCGTTAAAAGTAGATAAAATTGTTTAAGAATTGCAGCACAAGCAATTTTATTGAAACAATTATTACTTGAGTATTGGACTGTAAAATAGAAGATCGGAGATCTAATGAGAGATCTAATGACTTTTACTTTGATCGTGTCTAGGTGTGCGAACCAGCTGCTTGTCAATGTAAACTAGGACACGCGAGAAATTCCGCAGGAAAATGTGTCTCTCGCGACCAGTGTTAATTAAGGAAACTTCGTCCTGTTGGATACTTCAGGAAATTTATAGGTGAAGGTAACTTCAGTGTTATGATCGGCAATAAATGATATCGTGATTACTACACTTGTGTCTTAACTTTATTGAATCCCGTGCATATAAAAAATGCTAAATTCCGTGTTCGATGCGAATTCGATTTTTATTGCTATATAGAGATCGGATCTTACGGCATAAAATCCGACAGCGCACTCATTGAGATTTCAGTTGAGTTTGACGCTTCGCTGGTTCCACGTACGTGTGAAATTACACGTGGGTCGATAATATATTTTTATTAATATATTTTTATTGATATATATAAATTATATATTTTTCCTTTGTGCGATAATTATTAAAGCAATCACCTACATAGTTATTGAGGCATCACACACATGTTGAGTGAGTGGCCATTAAAGCGTCAAGGTGAATATGTAGTAATGCTAGAATGAAAACGATGACTTAACTTCTTTATTTCTAATTTTTTGCAACGATTCGAAGGCAATTCGGAGGCAATTCGACGGTCAAATAGACCATTTTTTATTTCCAATTTTACGACTGCGTCGACCCTTAGCATAGACGTAGCAATAAATTACATAGGCGTAGAACTAGCACAGGAAAATTCAAAGCAACTCGAAATTTAGCATTTCTAGCTTAGGGGATGCGCGAGGCATTTTAGTTTTGCGTAGGTGAATCGTTGAAGAATGGTTCTGCTTGCGATTGGTAGTTTCGAGAGCTGCGGGCGATTTTTGTGGAATTAAAGTAGCACCCTTGACTTGCAACGTGCCCTCGGATGTCCTCGGATCTCCTCGAATCAATTCACAGAATAGAAAAACTGAAATGTAACGATATTTCCCTCCAAATACTTATCCTCAGCACCTTAAACTCTTTGATGGAGAGCCAACACTACAAAAATATAGAACAGAAAAGTTAGACGCACAATTGCAGAGAACCTGTCTTATCTATGGTTTAAGCGTAAAATGGAGCTCGTTGCACAATAACTTGCAACCTACGACCGGTGCTAATTCATCATCAACAATGTGCGTGAGTCAGATAGCGAAACAACCGCAACACCGCGTCGTCATTGCCATTTTATGCAAACATATTTCAAGATCATTTATCAGAATGGGGAACCCTTTTCCGACGTTGCTTATAATACTATAATAATAGTAACCACGATATTTAACTTGTCGCGGTGAACGCTTCCGCTTCGACGATGATGGTTCCTATGCGACTTTTATTTATACATTGTCGATTTATTCTTCATTACCTTTCTTTATACGATGTTCGCACGACAAAGTTTATTTATGCTCCTATAAACTATACTTTGAATATTTGGACAGGTGTCCGAAGACTTATTATGGATTATTCAAAATGCGATACGTCCGTAGTTTTCAGTATAAAAGCGAGTCCGTTTTGCGATGTTTGTTTAAAGTTGTGCAACTACGAACGAAGTTCAAGCTCGATCCTCAAAGATGTCTCGCACTTTTCTTGTTCTCCTGTTCGCCGCCATTGCCTACATTGGCGGTAAGTATTCAGAGATAATGATTTGCTTCGCTTTAGGGAGGTTTTGTCAATTCTGTCTTGTACTTTGATCAGTGAGCGAAGTTGCTGCGTGTGGCGTTAATGAAGAGTTCAAGATCTGCAAAAGTCTGTGCGAACAGAAATGCGGCGGACCACATGTCTACTGCATTCAGGTTTAAACTATTTCTCAAAACTATTTAAGAATTTCAATTCTTCAAGTGTTCCGTTTCGATGCTACTTTCTTCCGATTTCCTTCTTGCATTTTTAAGTTAAAACTTTCAACACTGAACGTACAGAGCGCTAAAAGCGTCCGGCTCGTCTCATCGTATAAAAATCGTAAGATTGCGTTTATTTAGTCTTTGTGCAATTTTTATTATAATATGTGCTCAACGAAAGCGCCTTTGTAGTTTCAATAATCCTGAAACAGAGAATTGGAAACCGATCATTCGGCGATGGTACGTTTAGCGTTAAAAGTAGATAAAATTGTTTAAGAATTGCAGCGCAAGAAATTTTATTGATACAATTATTACTTGAGAATTGAACTGTAAAATAGAAGATCGGAGATCTAATGCGAGACAAGCAACTTACACTTGTACTTTAATCGTGTCTAGGAGTGTAGAGGATCTGGTTGTCAATGTAAAGTAGGATTCCTACGAAATGACAAAGGAAAATGTGTCTCTCGCGACCAGTGTTAATTAAGGAAACTTCGTCCTGTTGGATACTTCAGGAAATTTATGGGTGAAGGTAACTGCAATGTTATGATCGGCAATAAATGATATCGTGATTATTACACTGGTGTCTTAACTTCATTGAATCCTGTGCATATAAAAAATGCTAAACTCCGTGTTCCATGCGAATTCGATTTTTATCGCGATCCGATCTTACCGCATAAAATGCAACAACCCGCTCATTGAGATTTCAGTTGACTTCGATGCTCCGCCGGTTCCACGTAGGCGTGAAATTCCACGTGGAAAGTGATCGAAGTTGCTCGGCACGTCCGTTCTTCCTTCGTTCACGTTGTCAACCTATCCGCTATTCGTACAAAAACCGAAATCTTATCAACGCTGATAAGGGAGTATCAACGCTTAACTTATCTATGTAAAAAGAACCAAGCGCGAAGAACCGAGTGATTGAACTGGCTGGCTTCGAACAAATCATGGTTGCAGCATGCACGAACGATTCCAGGAAGTTATCGATACCGACTTTAAAGGTCCATTTATACTCGCCGACGAGCCGACCGCGAGCCGAGCGGTTTGATAGCGTTGAATTTCGTTGTACCGATATGGTTTTGCATGTACAGAAATGATAATAAAACACTATCGATCTCGCTCCGCTCGTGCTCGGCTCGTCGGTGTCTATAAATGCAGCTTAATCCCGAACTCTTAATCACCGAGCTATCGCTTCGGACGCATCGATACCGCGCGCGATAAAGAAAAGCGGCGTCCTTTCGACGATTCTTTCATGCTTGGCAAGACATTAATAATATAATAATTAATAATATATAGTAATTAATAATATATAGTAATATATAGTAATTAATAATATATTATAGACATATAAATATGTGTTTCAAGTGATCGTTTTATTCAACATGCTCTCTGTAAACGTGCTTAACAATAAACATTGCTAAAATGGAAGCAAATCAATACACACCACGATAAAGATTTAATTAATAGAATTATCGCTATGCGTTGAACGAGTGACAGCAGCTCGAAGGGTTAATTCTATCGCGTAGAACTTGTTCGCTAAATTCGGCAAGGATCGTCGCGATCGATTGTCTCGTCGAGAACGTTTTAACAGTCACGTGTCAGGACACACTTGTTCTCCTTGTTCCTGATGTAGCCTTCTTTGCATTCGCAGCCAATTTCGCACCTCTGCAAGAAATACCAACGTTAGACTCTGTCGAAATTAATTATTTTTACTAGTGTCGAAATGCGATTCTGGTCGAAGCGCAATTAGTAGATTGTACAAACCATTGTGCAAATTGGTGGAGCCTTCCTTTCGCACGTGTCCTTACAGGGCGAGCCACAGCTGTTGAATACTTCGTTTGGCCCGCACTTCTCAGCATCCTTGGTGCTCTCAGGGAACGCCGCTGCAAAAAGAAATTAATATTTTTTAGAGCATGCTTTAGGAAATTAAACATAAGATATCGATCGTTCTTCCAGTGAAAAGAAGTCACGAAATGTGTCACATTTTATATAGCGAACAAGATACAGTACATGTCTCCCTAATTGACGCTCAGATTGTCCACAAAAATGGACAATTTTGGAAAATGAGATACGATTTTTCGAGCCTCGTGGCTCGTTTTTTTATGGTTATCGATTATCAATAACTATAAAAACGAGTTGCAAGGCTCGAATAATCGTATCTCCTCTTCCCAAATTGTCCATTTTTATGCACAATCTGAGCGTCAGTAAGGGAGACATAAGTACTTAATACTGTAATAAGTATTTAATTTAATAATAACAAGATAATAAGTATAATTTTCCGGTGCTCGAAAAATGGAATATCAACGAAACAGATTTAAAACAAACAAAAAAGAAACAACACGTTGCTCTGTCAGATTGAATCGAAACAATAAAAAGTTGCACTCGCAGTCAAGTTTTATCATTCTCCGGCTTGATGCAAACGAAAATACACTCGTTCGGTCAACAAAAACTCGCTTCGAACAGCTGTTCAAAGCGTCAGTTCGTAAAAAACGAAAGCCATTGTTATCGGTGTCTGCACCGAAAAATAATGACTGGCATAGCTCGCTGCGTTTTCTCGCGAATCGTCGAGTGAAAACAATCGAACGAAAGTTTCCGCGTGCAGCTTCGATTGGCGAACGATCGAGGACGAGGATCGAGGAGGATTCACGATAGACCGTTGGCTACTTACAGACACAGGCGACGACCACGGCGAGCAAGAGAAGAATGGTAGCGCGCGACATGTCGAGAAGTTCACTTTGGTCAGAGCGAGTTAGGCTTGTTGAGAGTTCAAAAACGATTGGTGATCTTCGCTCGGACGGCTCGGGCTTTTATACCGATGACCACCGCCGGACCCTAGCTCCCCAAGATTTTTGCCACACCGTCTACGCGCAGTTGTTCCCTCTAAAATTCACGAATCGGATTATCAGTCGCGACTCTCTCATCGCACCGATTATCTCTCGCGATACCTCGGGGCAAACAAGCGATGGCCGCGATACCGGATAAAACTGACTCACTTCGGTCAGGCCACTTGCCGAAATTTCGAAAAAGTTCCAGGAAGTCGCAGCCTCGTCGCGGACCGCCGGGAAATTCGAGAGATTATGCAACGGCCTCGCATAGTTAGCGAAATTAGCGTCCTGTTAGACCATTTCCGAATGACGACGCTTCGTCGCGAACGATAACGCGATATTTTCAAACGGCGCGTGACGGAAATAACGCATAAAAACGATAGCGCGCTGAAACATTCGCCGTTAATTAATATCTGTCGCCTTAAAATTTTTCATCTCCATCGGGTCCGCAGAAGTTATTCAAAAATGACTCCAATTTACGCTACAGATTTGCCACTCACCTAAAAATCATTACAGATTCGAGCGCCGATCGAACCAGCTCCAGAACAATGAACAGAGACAATAATAATAATAATATATATATATATATATATATATATATATATATATTATTATATTGGGTTGGCAACTAGATAATTGCAGATTTGTTCAATGAAATACACAATTTTTTTTACTTGGAATGAAGTTTAATCTGTAATGTATTTTCCATTTTGTTCGATGACCTTTTGTCATTTCTCTGACAACTTGAAAATTCCACGCTCATAGAAAGTCTGATCCTTTTCGGCCAAAAACTGAGTTAAGTGAGATTTTACAGCGTCATCGTCGTTAAAAGTTTTACCACGAAGGGAGTTGTCCAGGGTTCGAAATAAGTGGTAATCCGTTGGCGCGAGATCAGGGCTATATGGTGAGTGTAACATCAATTCCCAACCAATATCCATCAATTTTTGCCGAGTGGACAAAGACGTGTGCGGCCTAGTATTGTCCTGCTGGAAAATGACACCTTTACGATTGACCAATTCTGGTCGCTTTTCCTTGACCGCTGCATTCAATTTGACCAGTTTCTAACATTCACGGATAATAAAAAATAACATAATAATAATAATAATTTTATAATATAACATTTACGGATATCATAAAAATGGGAGTGAGAAACATCTATAACTGAAATCGGCAATTACTTAGTTGCCAACCCAATATATAATAGTATAAACACCGTCACGGTTTTCATTCTGATTTTTATCTCGTCTTTTTATCTCGCGACTGTGTTAATACGCAATCCTAATCTCGCTTTTAAAGTCCCTATCTACGGAATCTACGTGTTTCGAGCTGGCTCGTCGAGACTAACGATTCCTTGACACGATTTGCCGGCCGTGTTATCGATTTAGTGTTCGCTGCCAGAAAATTCTGCGGACCGGGGAGCATCGATTTCCACGAGGAAAACGCGACCCTCTCTCGTTAGAAGCTTCCCAATGGACCGGGCCAGGCAAGCTCAATGGAAGATTACCGTTCTTTGATTTGTTCTCGCGAAACTCACATGGGAATGCCGGTTCGTGGATAGAGGGTGGCGTCGCCGGAGATATCTATCGTTAGGATAACGACCTCTGACAACGATTTTGCAGACGGTGACGGTGTTTGCCGGCTAATCTTGTTTCCACGGAGCTGCGTGCCGAGAGCAAGAATGTTAAGGAACCGCGTGCGAACCGCGAAACTGTGCCCTTTCGTCTAATCCCGACGTTCTTAATTCGACTAATCGACTAAATTTCGTGGTTCTCGCGTTTTCGAATGTCCGCGGAGATTTCTTAAAGCCTCGACGAAAGTAGAAACTACCTGCTAGATTTCATTTTTGACATCGATTATCGAGTACTCCTTCAAAAGAGATATCTTTGGCGAGGATCGAGGGGCGAGAAGGGGCGAGGGAGACGCCGTGTTCGTTAACCGAGCACTTATCTTATGCAAATTATTAATACGAATCGTCCTCGAATCCGTTGACTTTGCGCTGTTTGTACGGTGCCGAGATCTTCTCGGAAGCTGAGAGTGTTTGCTGGTGGAAACAGGTGGCGGCGCGACGCGGTTGTTCTCTCTCTCTCTCTCTTTCTCTCTCCCCCTCTCTCTTTCTCTTTGTCTTCGAAGCGTCTATAGTTCGCCAGTGGTTCGCCGAGGCGGCAAAGGGTGTCAATTGCTTCGAACAATTGAGAAGAATCAGTGATATCGACGGGATGCTCGCGGAAGGTGTCCGTCTCTCTGCCGTGGAAATGAATCGGCCCGATCTCGAGTGCCTCGGTAAACACGCTGCACGATCTACCGTTCAAATTGGCTCGATTAGATTGTTCAATTAATTGGAGATTTCGGCGCCGTTTGTTGTTGTACCTTGCGCGGAAACTTTCTCGCGGACGTAAATCGGCCGTCGTAAATATTTTCCCCGAAATTCGACGAGCGCCCCCCGTTCCATTCCACGGCCGAGTCGCGATAGTGGCGTTATCGATCTGTATTTGGGGCCGATGCGCTCTCCGCCGGCACAGATCTGACCGGCGGGTCGCGATCTTTGACACCGAAACCGAGACTAATTGCTTCTCGTTTCTGGGTTAATCGTATAAATGTTTACGCGAGGGCCGCGGTAAACCGAAACGAGTGCCGTTTCCGGCGTGACTCGCGGCCGCGTCTCCGACGCTCCAGATTTGCGGAATCAGCTGGTTCAACGGATTACGGAGAAACCGTAACGTTAGCCACGTTAGTTTGTAACGCGAGCAATACACGATAGATTAAAAACAGATAATATCCGCGGTCGTCTCCGGTGTTCGAACAAAGGAGAAACGTGCTGGTGGAAAGATCTTGCGAAACGTTGCTGCGAAAAAGTTGACGGGAAGAACGGCGATTTGTTTGAAATTCGTTCTTTTTATTGCGTTAAGGGTTACATGTTTTCGGCGTGATTCATTCGTATAGACTTCCTCGGTGTTCGTAGATCAAGGAGTCGCTGCCAGACAGGATCGTGGAGGATCGACGGGGTTGGGCGAGCGTTCAATCACTTGCTCTGTAGCTGTTTCGCAGTGTTCACGAAATCGAACACCGACCATTCCTTTCGGCTTTTCATGAAGTCGATTACGCAACCTAAGATCGAGACGCAGTCGCCGTCGCTGTCCTTGTAGAAGCCGAAGCTGCACTTGCAGCCCGGTCTGCACAACTGCAACGAAACAACGGCTGCATGGTAAAACGTTGAGCGACGAGAGTAGCTCGCAGATGGGAGAACGTTTCGAGCGTGCTACTTTTCTAATTCGAAGTCAAACGAAACGATTCTAATTATAATCAAGTCACGGGTACACGAGATTACCAGAGTATTATGTAAATGTCTTCTGGGAAGTTCGTTTAGACCAGGGGTGGCCAAAGCGTCGACTTCCTAGTCGCCCGCCTGTCTGATGTTATCTGTGTGTTTATCTTAAATTTAATCTTATTTTTGACTTCAAATTACGAATTTTCTTATGATCAGTTGACACATACGACGTTGGTAGACCGCCGTCTATAATTTTAAAGAACGGGTCGCTCGTAGTGATCGAAAGTTTGGCCTTCTCTGGCTTAGACGAACGTAAAATTAATTAGAGAAAAGTATCGGAAAGAATTAATTTTTGCTCTTTATTTTTCCTTACCGGTCCATTACACTTTCCAGGTATAAGGCGTTCACAACTCGGCGAACACGAGACGCAATCCGTGGGTTCCTCGTGTTTACGACATTCGATCGAACCCTCTGAAAAGCAATAATTTAATCCGATGTTAATTTTGTCGACGTTAATTCCCTCGGAGTTTAATGAGCTTACCGGTAGAATTCGATGGATCTGCTGGGGCAGTTAGAACCTCATCTGGCATCTCTGAAAATTCGACATTTTCGATATTCTGTTATCACTCTTAGGCACACTTGTGCATTTTTAGCATGCACTTTGTTAGACACAAAAGATGATAATACGTCCCTAATAAATAAATCCTAATAAATAATCCCTGGCAAAAAGTATTCGGTCGCCTTTTAAAACGAAATAACTTCTTTAAAACTGGACTGACGAAAATGTTAAAAAACGAGAGTTTCATTTATATTTCTTATTACCATTCCAAGCAATAGCAAAATTAAAACAAAGTATTTCAATATTCACTGCACAGTGAATTGGATCCCTTGAATAAAAATCAAGTCACGTAGTCGAGCTTTGAAAATGTTATTACCTTTTGGAAGGTGTTCCAATCATTTTTGCCAGGTTTAGCGAATACACGTATGGCAAATCAGTGTGTGCCGAGAGCTATTTTTAACCTGCTAAGTGACCATGTGATTCTTAAAACCGTGAACACGCCACAATGTAATCGCGTGTAAATATTAACACAACCAACTTGAGATTATTTAATACTTTGAAACAAATCTATGATTCACGGGATAGGATTCATCGGAGTCACTTTTGGAACGTCATTTCGAGGCTTATTGAGGGCGGATTTCCGCTAGATAAAATGTCAAGATTATTATAATCAGTTTAAGTATGAATGGGGGGGAGGAGCTCGATCGTGCAAACCGAGACGCATGATCACACTTACGCGTCAAACAAAGAAACAGCACGACGAATGCGATCGCGACGAATCGATTCATCTTGGCGAAATACCGCGCGAACAAAGTGTAATGGGACACTAATGAAGCATTCTCGCCACAGCTTTTTATACCGAACAATTTTCGATTGTTTAAGGCGACCCTAACTCACTGCCAACAAGCGTAATCATTGTTTAAATCGACCGATCCCTATGCAAACGTTTGCTCTTTTATTCGCTCGAGTCTTCCATTCGATAAAAGCTCGATAGAACGCGTTCTCATCGACGTTGATAACTTTTCTAGAAAAAAATCTCATTTTCCCCGCGCGCGCCTCTTCCGAAATATCGATAATTGGAATCTGGCGATTTAATTCGCCTTAAAATAAGCAACGAATTCTCATATTTGTGAGTCACCGATGTTATCGGGCTCGTGGCTGATAAAGACAACGCCAGGCCAGCGTCTACTTTCGCTTTATGACTAAGGCCGAGTAAATGCAAATTTGTCGAGCCACTAGCGGAAACTTTGTCTCTCGCGGTGTATCAGCGATCGTAAACCACGATCTCCGATTCGATAAAACCTCAAAGCCGTTCCAATTTACCACCGCAATCTCTCCCTACGATCGCGATACGCGATCCTCGTGAATTTTCTTAATTTATCAAAACAGAGAGACGTTGTTAGCAGAATGAAATTCAAATGCATTATGGTTCGGCGATTATTTGTTCACGTGACGAAACGTCGTGAGTTGGATGTGAGTCGAAGCAGACCCAATTTTCCGATTTCAGGTCTCACGGACCCACGGAGTTCGTTATTTCTTTCTAATGAATTGACCGGCACTTTTTCGCTGGTTTTCATTGTTAACGTAAAAGTGCTTTCACGTTTAATTGCAATCCACCGAATCCGCTCCTAAAATAACATCTCTTCTAATTAAAAAGTGAGATACAGTAATGTCTCCCTTACTGACGCACAGATTGTCCACTAAAATGGATAATTTGGGAAGAGGAGATACGATTATTCGAGCCTCGCGGCACGTTTTTATAATTGTGGAAATTTATAAATATAAAAATAAACCGCAAGACTCGAATAATCGTATCTCCTCTTCCCAATTCTCCTCTTCCATTTTTGTGCGCAATCTGGCCGTCAATTGGAGAGACATTATTGTACTATGCGCTACTATGCGCTACTATGATTTTAACCCTTTGCACTCGAAACCATTTCAACTGTAAATCTAAAATAATTTTTCCGACTTACTGTATTTCCATGTTGCAGGACAAAGTGCATTTTATGAATGCGAAATTGAGTCTCGCGATTCGTACAACAGTTACACTTTTAATAATGTTTAAAATTTAAACTTCGATGAGATATAAAAATGACCTTAGAACGTGATATAACAATTTCAGTGGTGCCTCGAGGTCACCACTCGAGTGCAAAGGGTTAAACGACTCGTATAAGGAAACCTAGTTGTGTCTAAAATCATTTCTGGCAATTATACCATACAATAATTTCTCGCAATTATACCATACAATAATAAACAACGCTTTACAGTATTCTATCGAAGTTACAAAATTACTGTCACAATGTCACCGTTATCAACGTTAATCTCACGTTTAACAGCAACGCTATTTCCGTACGAACGTACGTTATTTTGTGCACCACATTATCGTAGTACCAAAATACAGTAAATTCTCCCTAATTGACGCTCAGCTTGGAAAGAAAAATAGACAACTCGGGAAAAGGAGGTACGACTATTCGAGTTCTGCACCTCGTTTTTATAATTGTTGATATATTATACTACTAAATATACCACTATATTATTTAAAATAAATATCGTTCCGTACCGTATTTTCTATGAAAATCACGATCTACAGTAAATTCTCTCTAATTGACGCGCAGATTGTACCATAATTTTTCCCTAATTCGCACTGAGATCGCGCACAAAAATGGACAATTTGGGAAGAGGAGATACGATTAATATAATTTTTAATTCTTGTTTTTATACTTACCGATTGTGATCAACTATAAAAACGAGCCGCAAGACTCGATCAATCGTATCTCCCCTTCCCAAATTGTCCACTTTTGTGTACAATCTGAGCGTCAATTAGGGAGACATTACTGTAATTACCGTTGGGAAGGGAACACGCAGAAAAGGATTGCGTAACACCGTAATCTGAGGGATCGACCGATATACAACGAGGACGTAAGCTCGCGCGTAACGCACAGCAAGCAGAATCATTTTTTCCCCGTCAGATAATCTGCATGTGTGCAGCTGACTCGAATTTGCGCTGTACCAACAATTGCGGCACCAATCTAAACAATGTTTGTCTCCGGCTGTAATTCATGCTCGCACGATGAATCACACCGGTCTGGCTTCGTTTTTTTTTTTCGTGTTCCAAGAAAAATACGAAGCAACAACGCGGACGCCTCGAAATCGCGGGGAAACACACTTTTCTGACTCGATCCGCGCGCGTCCACCGCGCGCCGGAAACGAAGCTGATCTGCGAAAGATAATTCCGGGGCCCTGGGCATTGTCGACGGTAGCAGTAATCGGGACGATCGTGTTGCGTGCCGGCGCAAACACGATACAGCGGAAAAGTCGCCGGTCGCAGCGTTTTCCTTTCGGAGTTTCCCCGACGCGGCGTATTTCTGCGGGTATCGACCGGTCAATCGGCGGACATTGTGCGGAGCCGGCAATTAGCGACCTTCCAGCAGTTCCAGCTCTCGTACGCGTGAAAAGGTTCCGAGCGGATTTCGCCCCATTGAGCCCGCCGGACTGGACGCCGAGAGCGGATCGGTCCGGATCAGCGGATCGATCGATCCAGCTCCGAATCCGCGTTTGCTTTTACCCTTAAATGCCTTTTCACGGCCGACGGAGGCAGAGACAACGAGCGCCGCACCCTTTCTCTCTTTCTCTCTCTCTCTTTTCTTCTCTCTCTTTCTCTCCTCTTTTCGCTTTTTATTTAGCGAAACCGGGAGTCGGGAATCGAATATCCGACAGTCAAAATGCTATTTATTATTGAGCACTCAGGACCCGGGCTCTCCCCTATCCGCCCCTGCTCTCTCATCCTTCGGCCCTGTAATTCGCCTCGACGGCGAGCGAGTGCTTTAAAGGCCGCTTTCGCCGGGTGCTTCTTTCCAATCGCTCGCGATCCCTCAGACGATAAATAATACCTCTGAGTCTATTTTGCCGGTCGCTCCGTTCTAGACCAGAAAAACCCAGCGGATTTTCCTCCGGCGTGAAACTTTTTTCACGGTTCGCGTAATATGCGACCATTTTCGAAATGATCTAACGAATCCTGCGTCGCGAAATATTTAACGAATAAATGCAGCTTTTGGAACACAGCTTTCGCGTTACTTTAATCTGGTTTTTGCGCGTTGAATTCAGTACTGTATGATATTTAAACATTTTTTGCGAAAATTTTACTTTATGGAGACGTTATCGTTATTTTCCATTCTCCCTGTTTCTGGCTTCCCGGACCTTTTTTCGAATAAAATTGCACGTTATCGTTCATTGTATGCTCTTCGAGAAAAGTATTAATCGTCCTAAATTGTTCAGGAGTTAGTTTCGGAGTTATTAACTCTCTTTGCACTCGAAGCCACTTTAACTGTAAATCTAAGATAATTTTTCTGACCTACGCTGTCTCCATTTTATATGACAGAGCGCATTTTACGCGTGTGAAATTGAGTCTTGTGACTTATACAACACAGTTATACTTTCAATAATTTCTCAAATCTAAATTTTGTTAATGTAAGAATTATTTTGGAATGTGACATAAACATTTTTTAATGATGCCTCGAAGTCACCACTCGAGCGCAAAGGGTTAATTTCGTTCCTGGATCACAGGATTTCGTAACAGTTGCTCAGTTCCAAAGGATCCAAGGATCCTGTTTCCATCTTCGTATTCATCTTGATCGAGCTTCAGAATCTACAGTCTCTGCAGATTCAATCCGATTGAATCAACACGAGAATCTTAGTTAGTTTTTCGTTCGTTTAATCGAATAATTGATTGCAACGGTCCACGTCGCCAACGAACGACTGCTTTCAATGAAATAATCGGCCTCCTCTCGATCCAGGTTTTCTCGGAACGTTGTTCTACGAATCTCGCGAGCAATCTCGATCCTGAAAAGGTTCCGGCGGTCCAGCTGGTCTTCGACATTGTCTCGGCGAGGCTATTCAGTGTTCTAAGTCGCCTGAATGCGACCAGCAGCCACTGACAGCGGAAAACTCGATTGGAAGTCCTCGAGGGAGCCCCATCCGCCACCCTCTCCCTCTCTCGCTCTCTCTCTCTTTCTCTCTTTCTCTCTCTCTTCTACCCTTCGCGGCTCTCTACTCCACTTTTCAACCCCTCAGCGACGTCACGTTGCAGGAGCCGTGCTCCTGGCTCCTTTGTGCAGATGAAGGACCGCGATCTCACCCCCTGGTGGAAACGCACTGACACACTGACCCGATATTAACACGTCCAATCAGCCTCGCTCGACTTACAGCTAAACGTTTCCTGTTTTTGACGAGGGCTGACGCTTCTCGTGTCACGAATTAATTGCGAATTCCAGCGGTGATCCCTTAACCGGCGTCTTCGACGGGCTTGTCCTGGCGAAAAGATGTTCGCATAGTTTTCCTGAAACTGGACTAAACCGCTTGAATTTTTGTCGAATGTTAAAGAGACCAGTTCACTGTACAGTGACTAAAATACTTCCTTTTTTTCTTTTTAATTTTCCTATTACTTGGAACGACAGAAAAGAATAAGAAACTCTCGGTTCTTTAACCTTTATATGACATTTTTTCGAATAAAATTGCACGTTATCGTTCATCGTATGCTCTTCGAAAAAAGTATTAATCGTCCTATATTGTTCAGGAGTTAGTTTCGGAGTTATTAACTCTCTTTGCACTCGAAGCCATTTTAACTCTAAATCTAAGATAATTTTTCTGACCTACGCTGCCTCTATTTTATATGAAAATTATACTTTCAATACTTTTTCAAATCTAAATTTTGTTGATGTAAGAATTATTTTGGAATGTGACATAAACATTTTTTAGTGGTGCCTCGGAGTCATCACTCGAGCGCAGAGGGTTAATTTCGTTCCTGGATCACAGGATTTCGTAACAGTTGCTCAGTTCCAAAGGATCCAAGGATCCTGTTTCCATCTTCGTATTCATCTTGATCGAGCTTGAACGCATTTCTTAAACTTTCGTACTTGGTTCAGGAAAAAGTGAAAAAACGAGAGTTTGTATATATGTTGAGGGGAGGGGGGCTTGTAGATTGTGGAATTCGTGGAACGTTTATGGCAGTTCGAGCGTTGAATTTTCCAGGGAACATGATCAAATAAGTCATTAATAGATCTCGTGCGTGAAAAAATCGAATGCAATAAGAAATACTAAGAATAGAGAATCGATAGTTCTTGACTGCTCTCTCTAAAACTATTACAAAACAGCATTAACATTTCCGTGACGTGAAAACGATACACTGTACGCTGCTTTATCGTTATCGCGTCGGATATTCCCACAGTGTTCGTTACATTCTGGTCGGCACGTGGCAATTTTCCTATCTATCATGTATCGACGGCCGCGAGAGTTGCCCGTGACAGACTTAATCACAGAGAGTTCACAGCTAATCAGCGATTCGTGTCAGCGCCAGGAATTTCCTGCGTGCAAGCGTAGCGCCAGCGAAAGCCCCGTCGAATTATGTGCCGCGATGTTTCCGCGAATCGCGATCCCATCGCAGAATTTGTGGAGCCTCGGTGGTTAACTCCTTTGCCGTATTATCTTCTTCCCAGTTATAATGACTGGTTTCTCGATTATAATAATTTCTTGGAAAAAGAGGAAAATTTTGTATTTACTGTGTGCATACGTTTCCTTGAGTGCTGAAATATTGTACAGAAAAGAACAGAATTTTAACCAACTTGAGGAAATAAAATAACGTTTAGACTTAACAGGTTCTCGCTAGAAATCTCCATTATGAGTTAGATCCGTTAAACTACAATTACGGTACTCGTTAAAGTATAATTATCGCACCCATGTGTCTCGAAAAGGACGCTCGGAATTGTATCCTTCTCGAGCTAGCCCATTAAATCTAGAGTTTCTAAATAAAACATCGACTGGAATCGCTTTTAACAGGAAACTGATAACTCGGAACAATGGCAATTTGAGAAACCGGCGACACAGTAGCATAAAATACAATGAATAATTATCGGTAACCAACGAGGTGAACACTGCTAATCGCAACGTTAAGGCCGACTACACGCATGCGATTTTTCCACGTGCGATAGCAAATGTTCGCATAAAAAACCGTGATGAGATCGTGTGCAACGTTATATTTGCTGTTTTAAGCAAACGTGCATCGCCTAATTAAATTTATTCGCACCGCAATCGTGGCAACCCGCGATCTGCCGCGCGTTTCAAATAAAAAAACGCACGAATGAAACGAGCCGAACGGTTAACAAAGCGGGTTTACGTTTGCAAATACAAGTGCGCGGCGGTGACGTGCGGGAAAAGGGGGAATCACGCGATGGGAAAAACAAAATGCCACGTATATAAGCTGCTCTACTGAGAACTTCTCACATCAGTTTAGTTCTCACTGTGCACACTGTCAAGATGTTGAAATTGTCGATCGTCTGTTTCGTCGCCATCGCGGTGCTTCTCTCCTGTAAGTACTCCAGGATTTTCCTTGCAAGCGCTAGTAAATTCTCCCGGATTTTCCTTCAGCTTCTAAACAAAAGTGGAGAATTTGGGAACAGAAGATACGATTATTCGAGCCTCCCGGCATATTTTTATACTTGTCGATTGTCAACAATTATTAAAACAAATTGCAAGGCTCGAATAATCGTATCTCGTCTTCCCAGATTGTCCATTTTTGTTTGCAAGCTGAAGGAAAGCTGAAGGAAAATTAGGGAGAATTTGCTCTATTCGGATTTCCAATTTTTCTTGAACTTTCCTTACGCTGTATTTATTTCAAAGTCGATCGATTTGAAGTCTTGCTTTCCGTTGACTTACTATTGAATCATTCTCGCAGTCGTCGAAGCCACTTCCGATAAATTATAGACGAAAATTAGCAACTGAAAGGGTTTCGATCGAATATAAACGGTACCGTCTACATTTCGGTAAACTTTTCAGCGACCTCGGCGACGGTACTAATCTGTAATGGACCCAACGAGGAATATGCCTGCGGATCTGCCTGTCAAAGGAGGTGCGACTCCTTGAACGAGCCGTGTATGATCGTGAACATTGTAAGTTCGTTAATTATCATAGTAACATTCGAAATCGGAAAACAACTATTTTGCCCCTTTGATTTGCCCGATTTCAGAAGTGCAACGACGCATGCTACTGCAAGGAAGGCTTCGCCAGGAACTGCAGGGACATCTGCATCCCCATAGATTCGTGCAGCCATAAGAAATGCATGTGGCGTAACCCGTACTTCGGCAAGCTCATAGGATAATATTGCGACGAATTCTGCGAGACCTCTGCCCTTCCGCGACAAGAAAATGCTGATAACACCGTGACTGATGCATATATCCGTGCTGCGACTCTTACTGTGCACGCGCATACCGGGCTTGTATCGGAGAGCACCGATAGAATTGATAGTTCAAGGGGTCAGTTTCGTAACATCTCGTGATTCTGTTAGACTGTAATGTAATAAACGTAGACGACCCGTTATATTTTTGCAATAACAACAACAATAATAATAATTATTTATTTTCACTGTCTATGCGTTTTATGCTTGTTTTTCTTGGACTCGTTCCTGCGTCGTTTTTCTGTATCCTCATTGATCTGTTACATCTACTATCTGCTCCACTACATCCATAGACACATGCTTAATTTTTTGTTTTACACTTCCATAGTGTTCCTATTTCCGAGTTTTCTCTCGTATCTCCTTGCACACGCGCACATACTTACGTTTAGGGTAGTGGAGTTCTGTTTTCGGGCACAATTAACTTTATATTTATCGAATAAGACATATTAAATCTTTTATTCTTTAATTTGATTTATTTTTTGATCAATTAACACCGAAAACAAGCCAAAGGCACAGCAATTGCCCCCCCCCCTCACTCCAATAGAGAAATGTATAATATTATGTCTCATTCGAAACAAAAGAATAGAAAAATTCGATGAATATAAAATTACTCGCGCCAGAAAATAAGTCAAACGCGCAGCAATTGATTACTCCACTTTACAGCCGAGTGATCATGATCGTGACAAGACATCGAGTCATCTAATTTGTCAGAAATCGGGGAAAAATTGATGCTGGACGCCCTCGAGGTCTCCACAGCGATTCAGTGTTGCACAGAACTCTGCAACCTCTTAAGAAACATTTCTAGGGATCATGGGAAAGGGTTGAGCCTAATTGCCAGTGGCCGGTGTCCGGCTGCTGACGAGCCAGACTCCGGCAAGCAAGTCAAACAATTTGACCGGCCTCGAGCTGAAGAGGTGCTCCAATATTTGGATCCGTAATGCAATCCACGGAGAGGTCGAAAGTGCTGAGGCCGGTTTCCGACTCCTCTCTCTCCTCTCCCAGAGACTCGCGAGATTACGCAGGGCCTCTCTCTGTCCCTCACTCTCTCTCTCTCTCTCTCACTCTCTCTCTCTCACTCTCTCTCTCTCTCTCTCTCCCTCTCTCTCTTCTCTCCCAGAGACTCGCGAGATTACGCAGGGCCTCTCTCTGTCCCCCTCTCTCTCTCTCTCTCTCTCTCTCTCTCTCTCTCTCT